TGTGTGTGTGTGTGTGTGTGTGTGTGCTTATGTGTGTGAGTATGTGTGTGTGTGTGCGATTGTGTGTGTGTGTGCGTGTGTGGAAAGGACGTGGGGGACGATCCAATAGTCTTTAAATATGTACTTTTATCTATTTTATTGAAAATAAAATTTCTGCACTGTGCAGTGCATGCGTCTTTGTAGACATTAGGCACTGTAGTAACATCACCATCTTACTTTTTTCCACGCCACCATAAGACATTTCGAGAGGTTTTCAACATCTTGTTTTCGTACAAATAGAGTTTAAAAAACCCCAACATTTTTATGCACTTAAATAAATAAGTTTTTGGGTACAAAAATCCTCACTTATTAAGAAAATTACACTTGTCATTACGAAATCCCTCTTCATATTACGAGCACCCACCTTAAAACATTTAGTAGGTCTTTTCATACGTCGTTGTAAAAACCCCTCACCACAGAATTTCTAACACTCACCTTAACGGTAATACTGGTTGCGTTGTCTGGGATGTCTACTTCCACGGGAAGTATGCCGTTGTCCGGAAGTGTCAGGTTCTGTCCTGTGAGCGGGAACATGCCCGTGAACTCGTTGGTGCAGTAGTACTTCTGGTCATCCACTGTGAACTGGTAGCTGGCTACTGTGTACACGTAGACCGGGTCTGTGTTGCCGATAGGAGGGAGCCCGTCTGGTGTGGACACTTGGAGCTGAGGAGTTGGAGTCGAAAGTTTAAAAAAATATTATAACATAAAGTGCGATCAAAAGTTTCTTGCGCAATTGGTCGCTTATAAACATAAGGGCGCTATCCCGAAAAATGTTGTTTTGAGAAAATCGAAGGTAAAGTTTTTGCCCCTTAACTTGTTCAGTTTCTTCAAAAGACAAGGACAGTTTTCTCTATAACCAAACAAATATACACACCAATGAAACCGAACTTCTCCTATAGGTAGGGCAATGCCCAATTTTGGTGTACATCAAGATTTCTGGAAACAGCCAAAATCTAGGTTAGCCCGCTTGTCCTTAAATGCGTCTAATTTATCCTCAAATATCTTCTTAACCACACACACACACAAGTGTTTGTGTTTGTGTGTGTGTATGTGTGTGTGTGTGTGTGTGTGTGTGTGTGTGTGTGTGTGTGTGTGTGTGTTCGTGTTTGTGTGTAACAGGTGAAACAAAGTCACCCATACTTTGCACAACAGTTTGTATCAATTTGTGTTTTCTTAACCATATTTTTGCACAACTAATGAAGCTACTTTAAAAAACTTTTCTGCATAAATGTATATAAAATTCTATAAATCTCCATTGCGCGGAAAATAGAATTGTTTACAGCACTTCCCCGCTTCTTACACACATTTTGCATACACATAATATGGCCTACAATGTCACAGCTCACCAATGACACTCTTTTGTGGCAAAACCTGTTACACGAAAATAGTTTTATAATGTACTCTTGTTTGCACTAAAAGTTTTCAAAGCATGTGCTCATGTCGCTGATTAGTCTCTAAATTGAATCAAAGATCATACATAACAAGACAGTTCACTCCTCTCTTTGAGCCAATTAAAAAAGTGTCCTCAAAATTCTGTGGCGTCCTCTTCGAAAAAGTGCGGCTTTGAGATCAGAGTAATCCTACTTATGTGAAAAACAATAAAAAAGAAACTGACAAGCTGTGCTATTCCTATTCTTCTTCTGGAGAAACGAAAGAGAGCTTCAAAACAAAGACTGCAGCGCCATCTGAACCAATGCTCGGACATCTGCGGATACTTTTATTTTTGGCTGAGTGAACTATCTTGTTATGAACGATCTTTGATTGAATGCATACTCAGCGATTTCGTGGAAGAAGGGGTTATTCACATACTAACCAAAAACATTATTGTCCATGAGCAGAAGGAAAATTGCTAAGAATTAAAATCCCCAACATTTAGAGTAGCAATGGTTATGGTAACAGATCTTCACACGAGATGACGACAACGAACATCAAAAACAAACTCGAAAACCAGAACAACAACAGTAAATAACAACAGCAACAGCAACGAGAACAGTAATTACAACAACAGCAACAACAACAATAACAACAACAGCAATAATAATAACAGCAACGACAGCAGCAGCTGCAAGAACAACAACAACAAGAATAGTAACAACAATAATAATAATAATAATAATAACAACAACAACAATAATAATAATAACAGCAGCAGCAGCAACAATAACAACAATAA